CACCTGTAATCCTAGCTCTCTGGGAGGCCGAGGCGGGCGGATTGCTCAAGGTCAGGAGTTCAAAACCAGCCTGGCAAGAGCGAGACCCCGTCTCTACTATAAATAGAAAGAATTAATTGGCCAACTGATATGTATATAAAAATTAGCCGGCATGGTGGCGCATGCCTGTAGTCCCAGCTACTCGGGAGGCTAAGGCAGAAGGATCGCTCGAGCCCAGGAGTTTGGGTTGCTGTGAGCTAGCCTGACGCCACGGCACTCACTCTAGCCTGGACAACAGAGCGAGACTCTGTCTCAAAAAAAAAAATTTTATTTGTCTTACCTAGAGAAACAACTTAAATTTTATATTTAATTGATTAATAATAATTTATTTATATCTCTATGGGGTACCATGTGATATTTTATATTATATATACATTGTGGAACTACTTTATCAAGCTAATTAACATATCCATCACCTGACATTTTTTGGTACTAAGAACAATTGAAATCTATGCTTCTAACAATTTGAAATATACATTATTAACTATGGTCACTAGCAATACACATTGGAAAAGAAATCCCTATTCAATAAATGGTGCTGGAAAATTGGATAGCCACATATAGAAATTGAAACAGGATCCATATCTCTCATCATCACAAAAATTAATTCAAGATGGATAACAGACTTAAGCCTAAGTCATGAAACTATAAGAATTCTAGAAAAAAATGTTAGAAAAACTCTTACAGATTAACAGTCTAGGCAAAGAATTTACGAAGACGACACCAAGGCAATCAGAGCAACAAGAAAAATAAATAAGTGGGACTTTGTTAAATTAAAAAGTTTCTCCACCACAGCCAAGGAAACAATCAATACAGCAGACTACCTACAGAATGGGAGAAATATTTGCATGCTATATTTGATAAAGGACTAATAACCGGAATTTACAAGAACTCAAGCAAATCAGCAGGAAAAAAAATCAAACAACTCCATTAAAACATGGGTAAAAGACATGAACAGAAGCTTTTCAAAAGAAGATAGACTATGGCCTAGGCAAAGAGTTTATGAAGAAGTCCCCAAAGGCAATCACAGCAGCAACAAAAATAAATAAATGGGACATGATCAAACTAAAAAGCTTCTGCACAGCCAAAGAAACAGTCATGAAAGTAAACAGACAACCTACAGAATGGGAGAAATTTTGCATCTTACGCATCCGATAAGGGACTGATAACTAGAATATACTTAGAACTCACGAAAATCAGGAAGAAAAAATCAAACAACCCTATTAAAAAGTAGGCAAAGGACTTGAACAGAAACTTCTAAAGAAGACAGAAGAATGGCCAACAAACATATGAAAAAATGCTCAGCATCTCTAATCATCAGGGAAATGCAAATCAAAACCACAATGAGATATCACTTAACTCCAGTGAGAATGGCCTTTATCAAAAAGTCTCCAAATAACAAATGCTGGCCTGATGCGGAGAGAGAGGAACACTCCTACACTGCTGGTGGGACTACAAACTAGTTCAACCTCTGTGGAAAGCAATATGGAGATACCTTAAAGCAATACAAGTGAATCTACCATTTGATCCAGCAATCCCATTGCTGGGTATCTACCCAAAAGATCCAATGACACTCTACAAAAAAGACACCTGCACTCGAATGTTTATAGCAGCACAATTCCAAGAATGGATTAATAAAATGTGGTATATGTATACCATGGAGTACTATTCAGCTCTAAGAAACAACGATGATATAGCACATCTTATGTTTTCCTGGTTAGAGCTAGAACCCATACTACTAAGTGAAGTATCCCAAGAATGGAAAAACAAGCACCACATATACTCACCAGCAACTGTTATTAACTGAGCAGCACCTAAGTGGACACATAGGTACTACAGTAATAGGGTATTGGGCAGGGGGAGGCGGGAGGGCGGGTATATACATACATAATGAGTGAGATGTGCACCATCTGGGGGATGGTCATGCTGGAACTCAGACTTGTGGGGGGAGGGGGGAAAGGGCATTTATTGAAACCTTAAAATCTATACCGCCATAATATGCCAAAATAAATAAATAAATAAAAAGAAGATAGACTGATGGCCAATAAACATATGAAAAAAGTGCTCAACCTCACTAATCATCAGAGAAATGCAAATCAAAACCACAATGAGAGATCACTTAATCCCCATGAGAATGGCTTTTATCAAAAAGTCCCAAAACAAAAGATGCTGGCATGGATGTGGAGAGATAGGAACACTATATCCTTACCAATACTTGTTGTCTTTTGTCATTTTTATAATGGCCATTCTAACAGGTATGAGGCAATATATCATTGTGATTTTAATATGCATTTCCCTGATGATTAGCAATGTTGAACATTTTTTCATATATCTCTTGACCTTTCATACATCTTCTTTTGAGAAATGTCTATTCAGGTCCTTTGCCTATTTTTTAATCAGATTTTTTTTATTGGTATTGAACTGAGCTCCTTATATAATTTATAGATTAACTCCTTATCAGATGTATAGTTTGCAAATATTTTCTCCCACTCTGTGGGTTGTCTCTTTACTGTGTTGTTTCCTTTGCTGTACATCAACTTTTTAGTTTCATACAATCCCATTTGTCTATTTTTGCTGTTGTTACCTGTGGTACTAAGCCCTTCCTAAGCCAGGTCCAGCTTGTTTTTCAAGCCTCCCTATTTTCAAGTCATTCCCCATGTTTTATCTACCTATGACAGACTACTTGCTCATTCTCCAACATTCTCAACATCTTTGCACCTCTGTGCCTTTTTCTTTTGCTATAAATGTTCTTTCATCCCCTTTCTATCTGCTAAACTCCTATTCATCTTTTAAGATCAAATTTATGTCATCTCTTGTCTGAACTTCACCAAACTTTACCTCCATTCCCCAATGCTGAATTAACTGCTCTCTTATTGAAATTCCCAGAGCATTTTATAAATGCCTATAAGACTTACTACATTAAATTATGGATATTAGGTGACATAATTATCTCCCCCTTTATAGTCCAAGCTTATTGAGAGCAAATATCATATACCCCAGCAGTAAAGCAGTTCACATACAACAATTAATAAATATTTGCAGAATTGAACTTAAGTTCAAAAAATAAAGTATAAAATCAATGAGGCTAGTTCTCAAAAATCATCAATATCTTCAAATATAGTAAAACAACTCTTTAATCAACATGATCAGGATTTGTAGTTGATTACTAAGAAAAGTCTGTTAAAGGAAGGAATCAATCTCTCTCTCCTTAAATACTTTAACATAAAACATATATAATAAGTATACATTCTCTATCTTAATGATATACTGCCAAATTCTAGTCTTTAATTGGAGTTCTGCTTCTAGCTCAATTAGAACCTTTTTCCAAAATCAAGATTCCCTTGTAGGTCATCCCTTAAACCTGTTCCCCTCCTTCTTTGTCCATCAGTTTCTTTTAGTTACCCTGACTGACTACTTGGAATTGTGACCAAGTATTCAAGTTGTTCTGCAACATCTATCAACTCCTTTCCATTGATTGACTGATCAGACTTTTGACTAATCACATTGCCTTTAGAATATACATAAGCTGGTTTTCTTCCTGATTGCTATCCAACTGTATCTATGTATAGCCAGATTTCAACATACTTGCATATTTGCCCAGTTCTTGCAGAGTTCTTTCTGGTTTATCTTCTCAGTCTATATTCTAACTTTTCCACTTTGCTTTGGCACTCCCAATTCTACCATCTTTTCAACTAAAATCCATAGCTACTCATGGTTACTAAGATTACATACAAAGTGCAATAAGTACAATTAGAATGAAAAAGCAGTGACTCTAAGGCACTAAAGGATCCCAGAAAAGCCCTACAATATGTTCTATATATACTTTTGCTATGGCATAACAAATGAACTTAGACATTTTAGAAAAATTTCGATAACAGTTGAAACAAAGATTTTCTGGATTTTCTCATTAAAGAAATTTTTTAAATTAAAATATTCATTCTTCAGGGATTTGAATTTTCTAAAAATTTATATATAAACCTTCTAAAGAATAATTTTTAATAATATTGAGTATAGTTGGCTATCAAGTTTGAGAGAAGAATAAAAAAGATAACTCATTGTCTCATTCTAATTTCACAGCCTATGACCTTTGTGTCAATTTCCAAATCTGCACTTAGTAATAATTAAGGCAACTTTAAAAAAACAGCATCAATAACAACTTCCAGACTTTTTTCCTTTTTTTATTTTAATTGATTTATAATTGTTTAAAATTATTATGGGTATATAATAGATGTATATCTTTATAGGGTACATGTGATGTTTTGATACAGGCATACAATGTGAATTAATCAAATCACAGTAATTGGAATATCTGTCACCTTAGGCATTCATCATTTCTTTGCATTAGGAACATTGCAATTCCACTCTTTTAGTTATAGACTTTTTAACATCTCTGAAATTTTATTTAAGAAAACAGAAATAATACTTTTATTTTGACAAAAGCATCCTTTTGACTAATCACATCAGAAGGAAAAGGCAATAAGATTACTCTAACTACCTTTTGTAGATTAACACTGAACAATAGAATGCTACTTCAACATTCAACTGCTTCAAAATATTTTCAAAGTGCTGTATCCACAGAAGCATAAATGATGATAAACATATGGCTTTAGTTACCATGAATAAAGTTAACAAAAATCGTATCTTTAAAAAATCAAGATATACTTTCTTTTAGTTTAAACTACCTTAACACATTACCAACATAGATCTTCCTTCCCAGCTATAAAGTGTTATTACCTCCATTAATCACATTTTTCCTAAGATAAAATATCATTAAGTATGTCCTTTGCTTAAGTATGTCTTTAATTTGACAAATATGATCCATGTGCAAAAGAAATAGTTTAGGTAAACATCAGCTATCACAACAAAACCTGTTAAAGATTTTTATGTGAGATGTTCTCCTAGGCATCTAAAAGATAAAAGCATAAATTCTTATAGGCTAGCACATCAAATTAAAAACATACCAATTTCTTCCACTTCTTCCAGGAAATCATTATATTCCCTTAGACTAGGAAAGTCTTCTTCCCTTTTATTATATCTTTAGGAGAAGAAAAAAATCAACATATTACTTATCATTCCTTTCAATATTATCTAACTGGTTTGTTTGTTCTTACCTAATTTATACATGATACACAGAAAGGATTTGCTTACTGTGTAAAACACTGTTTTCTTGACATCAGGTTTGTAATTAGACCAAAAATGCTATTCTTAAATTCTGACAACTACAGAGAGGGAGTAGAATCAGGAGAGAATGATATAATATGCAAAATCTGTGTAAGACTGAAGGGAAAGAAAGGGAAATGAGCTTAAACAAGGTATATCATTGGAAATTATGATATCGTTGACTTCTAATAAATATACTCATTAATTTCCAGAAAAAAATTAATTAAAAGAGACTCCTCCATTTTTCATGACAGTTATAGTCTAAAGAATGTTAGATCAGGAAAATTGGTAAATATTATTATGTACCTGCGAAGAATTGGAAAACTGTAAGGAATTAACAATAAAAGATAAGGATCTAAGAGACTACCTCCCAGAAGTAATCCAAATACTAAAAGAGCAGCTAGGAGCATTGATAAAGTATCATTGGTTAGGTGCCTAGAAAGATACTGCTAAAACATTGGCGACCTGGGTTGAAATGTATACCACCAAAAATAAGAAGAAATTAAATATATTATTTTAATTTCAAAAGCAACAGTATGCCTTAAAAAAAAAACAACAGATAAAATGAAACAGAAAACCACTAACAAAGAATAAAAAGTAAAACCTAAATTATAAATGAAAAAAAGATTAAAACATATTTATACATCTATATACATAAAACTACACACACACCTCCATATATGTATGAGTATATACGTACACATATATATGGATACCAAAATAAATTATAGATAACACATGATTTTCTCTAAACGGCCTTCAATCCTCAACTTAATATTACCTCCTTAGCACTTACCTGACATCAATGACCTGCCAACACTCAGCCACTAACTTCATAACACTTTCCTCAATTCATAAAAACATATTTATTTTGTTTGCCTGTTTTGTTGTCTATCTTTTTGTTATCCTATGCTACAATACTGTAAGTCTCATGAGGACAGGGTTCATAGCTGTTTTACTCATCATTTCATACCTACTGCTTAACACATATAACACAGTGTTTACACACAGTAGGTACTCAATTCATGTTTATGAAATAAATTAAAGAATAGGAAATGCATAAATTGTAAAGCTATCAATTAGGAGACTCCTCTATAGCAAAGGTCAGATTAATATTACTCGGTTATCTAAGAACTTAAATTTTTGTTAAACAAATACATAGACGAATTAAACTTATTTACTTGCCACTCTATCCATATTTGTATCAGAAAATGATATCAATTATTGAAATAATTGCTAAAGTACTCTTTGTTGACTGAATCATTCAAGCAATACTTACATCTTTAGTACTTTTTTCCGAATTTCAACCTCTTTGTCAACAGTGGGATCTTCAAAGAGTTGTACCCTGAAGTTGCTCTTTCTAAGTGGAGTGCCACACTCAGGACAGTTTCCAGCTCCTCTCACAAACAGTAAATCCACACAACTTTCACACCTGTAAGGAGAGAAATAAAACATAACATTTAAGCTAGTGTTCAAATCTGCAACAAGTCTGAATGGTTTGCCCCTTTGGGGGAGGGGGAATGAAACATGAAAACTGGTCATTGCTACTTAAAATTTTATCAAAAACTCTTTTGGAAAATGTTCATTTTCATTTGAGCTTACTTTTCAGACATGGATATCCTAAGGGATACCAGTTTAGTTTTACAAATTTATAAATTAAAAATAAATTGAGTAGGAGACTAGGAAGATTCAGAATAGCAGGATAGGGAGAAATCAAATAGCATGTAAAAGACTATGGTTACCTCCATCTCTAGTCCAGTATCATCCTTAGAACTAGGCAAGAGAAGCTTTTACCAAGGGCCTGTACTTTAGAGACCCCTGCACCCCAAGCAATAAAACAGACTCTTTTTGTTCCTTACAGCCTTGTTAGGAAGGTTTTTGGAGGTTCATTAACCAAGTGAGCAAATAAGAATTACAAGAGAGAGGTACTAGCTAAACAAGGCCCCATAGGCCACAGGATAAAGAACTGAAGAGTATCCAGTATGTGTAGAGAAGGAAAAATCAACACAGCTTCTACCATGAGAAATCTTAGAAAGAATGGCAGCTTATAAAAGCCTTATTCAGTTAAAATTGGCTACCACAAATCAACCAAAGTGACTGCCCAGGCAAGCCAAGTTTCCCAGACACCTAACATCCCCTTCTCCTCTCTTCTGGGTAGTACAAGTTTGAGATGAGCATAGAACTTCTTAAAAGTCTTGAGTTGAAAAGACAAGGAACTGGAGAGGTGGACCTCCCTGTAACCAGATTTCTGGGGATTTGGCAGGATCAGGTGTATATTGTTTTAGATGGAACCAGGTACCACCCATCATCCCTGCCCTGCCCCAACTCAGACTGTTAGGTAAAAAGGCTGGACAGGATAAGAGAGTAGTTCCTTTATCCTCTGGGTCTTAAGAGTGTAGGCTGCTGGGAGCTCAAGATGCAGCATGGGAACTCAGGCTGGGCCTAGGATGTAGCTTGATTTATAACTTTTAAATATTCAAATATTCTGATAAATATTCAAACATTGTAGTCCTCCAGTTGTAATTTTGTCCAACTCCATATGTATCAGCAACACACAGTCCTTGTCACTTGTTTTTTTAGTAATATCTGAACTTACTTATTCTTTGTATTGAGTTTCTGTCTTCTCCCTTACTAGGATGTACAATATATTTCTGGAGGACAAAATTTGATCTATCTTGTTCTCTATCCCTAGTGCCTGACAGTAAGCACTTAATAAATAAATCTTACAGAATTAAAAAAATAATAATATAAGACAAAGGGAAAAAGAAATTCTAATGAATAGGGAAAAGTTGATTTCTTCCAAGTATGTATTTGACTTCTGAAATAGGCTAAATGAAAAGAGTGATAAAGGGAAATAAGAATTTTTTGGGTTGCTAATAAAATATTAATATTGGCCTTTGCATATTTCTATCTTAATAGTCTTTTTAAAATAGTAGAGAAAAAATCCTAAAAATCACAGTGTTATTACCAAGATCATCAAAACCCCAGAAAAACCACTTTGGGTTTAAGAAGTTTAGAAGTAGTACATTCCCACTATTTTTTGTGGTTTAGAGAAAATTAAATCCAACTACAGAAATTGAAACAGACACACTTTATAATCATATTGACTAAAGATATTGATAAGCAAGAAGGTATCCAAAATATTCAAAATTAGAGAGCCACACATAATATTCTATATCTCAAGGTCTTGGATACTAGACTCTGTCAATAATTCAGTTAAAAAGGTAATTAAGAACACTAAGGTTTCTAAACGTCATATTGTATATTTGACATATTATTTTGTTTCCAAAATCAATTGAATGTCTCCACTTCTTTAAAATCTGCCTTAAATCATAAGAATTTAAACAGTATTAAAGAATTTTTACAGTAGTTTATTTTCCTATATAACATTTTCCTTTTCTGATTTCAACTGCTAAAAGGATACTTTTTTTAAAAAGCTCAAACAACATAGAATTATATAGAGAAAAAACTAAAAGTTTTACTTCATTTTGTTCTATATCTTGCTTCCCACAGGTAACACACTACTGTTGAGTCTAGTGCTTATGTGGCCACATCTTTTTCTACATATTTATAAAATATATACATGCAAACTAGTCATGTAAAAAAAGAACAGAACAAGTTGATAATTACTAGTTCATTTTATGTGGCAACAGAGCAACCAAAACAGCAGTATGTGGGCAATCTTTTGCCTTCAAGAGTGCTTTTTTCAAACAAAATCTTATATTCTACAGAACACAAAAAAAATTTGCTGAAAAAGCTCAAATCTTCAGTCATTACCCATTCTCCAAAACATTTTTATGGTTTTTCTTTTGTTTTTAAAAACCAGAATGGTATCCTCATTCTCTTTTCTCTCTGAATTACTTTTTTTAGCAGATTTTTTCTTTTGTCAAGAATGTTTAGCTATTTAAATTCCCTTGTCAAGATTTGTAATTGACTTGTTTGCTTTACTTTTTAAAGAGAAACTATATTTCCATGTAGAATTTCAACTATTATTAAAATATACTGACTTAGAAAAAGATAAATAATTCATCACAAACTCTATATTTAAGACTTTCTGTGAAGTAAACTAGTTTTATCATTACTTTCCATTCTTCTTGAACTCCTTGGCTTCTAGAAACAATTCAAAACAGAAGCCTGTGGTCTTGAAAAAAAAAGAAAATGAAACAATGGTAATGTTACTGAGCTACTGAGACCAGCCTTTACTTGAAGATCACCCTATCTATGGCTGTACTTCCCAGTCAATAATTTCTCTAAGATAGATTGCTCCACCCTGGGTGGCAGAGTAAGACCTCACCAAAAAAAAAAGGGGGGAGGGCATAAAAAGATAGTTTGAGTTTCCTATTACTTGTAAACAAAAGCACCCAAAAAGTATTTACCTATATGACCTTTAGAAAACAACTACCTCTCTATTTTCAATTGTCTTACCCACATAAGCAATTCTAATCTATGCACGCTCTCTTCCAAAAATGTTATTCAAATGAGAAGCATGTGAAAGCACTGTGAAAAACTACCTACATGTCCTAAAATCATGCCATGAACATTTTTTAATCTGGAATGCATTTCTTTAAATGCTAAATCCAGCATTTACCACACAAAAGTTAGTCTATTTACTAAAGGTGATTATTTTTTGCTCTAGAATAAATTTCTTTAAAAAGATAACTCTATCACTGACCACATAAAAATTAATTTTCTAAGATGTGATTATATATTAATAATTAGACTCTACTTGTGTAATGAGAAGATCTAGGTTTCCAATCCTAGTTCCATACCTTCATATGGGGTACTTTGAGGAAGTCATTCTCATTTATAAAATATCTAAGGTTTTTTCCAAGTTTGATAATTCTAGATAATTCAATTATCTAGAATACTTTATATATGTCTTACCTGCAATGTGTTACCACTGTTTAATACTATATATTAATAATAATCTATAGTTGCCTTGATTTTATTTAAAATATGCAAAATAATCCTCCCCCTCCCACAAAAAAGCTGAATTTACCATTGGATATTTAAAACAGATGCTAAACCAGGCACAGTGGTGTGTGCCTATAGTCCCAGCTACTCAGAAAGCTGAGATGAGAGGATTACTTGAGCCTAGGAGTTCAAGTTCAGCCTGGGCAACCTAGCAAAACCTCACCTAAAAAATAAACAGGTTCTACTTATACACAATGATTTTATTATTCTATCATTGTTTAGTAGCTAAATGAAAAAAATGAAAGAAATAACCCTGCTCTTATCTAGAGTCAATCTCTCCCTTCCACTTGCGTTCTGTTTCTCATTCCCTAATCCCTACTCTAGTACTGTAGTTCTACGATTATCCCCTCTTTCTCTCACACTGTGAATTTCCTCGTCTCCTGCATCATTCTAATTGACATACAAACATGTGTTAATATCAACCACCATCATTTAAAAAAAAAAGCAAAACTTGACTCTACATTCCTTTCCTGCTACCATCCAATTTCTCTGCTCACATTCACAGGCAAAATTCCTGAAGCAATACTGTTGTCTTCACTGCCTTAAACTAATTCTGATTAATCTTTTATTCCTGACTTTCCAATGAAACAATTCTTAAGAATTTTACCAATGTCCTCAATCTTGCCAAAGCCCGTAGTTAATTAATTAATTGAGAAGAATTCTCTGTCCTCATCCTACACTATCTCTTACCAGCATTAACTGCCCACTGCTTCCATCTGGGAACACGTTATTCTCTAGACTTATGTGATCTCACATTTATCTGGTTTTCCTTTTACCTGTCTGCTCTTTTATCTTTTTTCCTTTTTTTTTTTTTTTTAAAGAAACATCTCTTATTCTGGGCTGCTTTTTTTCCATTTGTTTTGCTGGCACTTTCTCCTCTGTGAAACATCTAAAAGTTGAAGTGTTCCACAGTTATTTCCTGGGCACTCATCTCCCTTTAGAAATGATATCTAATCTATATGGCTTTAAATATGACTCTCAAAACTAGATTACAGCCCTGATCTCATCCCTGAACTCCAGAATTCAACTCAACTACCTAATCAATAACTCCAGACACATCTAAAGTCATTTCAAACATAACATATCCAAAACAGAATTCTAGATTCTTTCATCCTGCTCTAATTGGCAGGCATTCCTACTTCACTAAATATCATACCATCTGCCTAGACACTCAGGACAAGCACCTAGGAGACTTTGCTAATTTCTTTCTTCCTAAACCCCCATATCTAATATGTATCAAAACTGATTGACTCTACTTCTAAAACACATGCTAAAATGAAATCCATTTTTTTGCCATCTCCACTGGTATAGGCCACTGTCACTCATTATTTAAAGTACTGCCAAAGCCTCCCAACTGTTCTCCTTGATTCCACTATTGACCCTCAACCCTCACCCACCTTCTTCCCCCAAATTTATGCTCTATGGCAGGCATCCTCAAACTACAGCCCACGGGCCACA